CCCTACACTTTAAAAACAATCGTATGCTAAAGTGTACTTGCTTTTCAGTTTCTAGCATAAAAAAAAAAAAAAAAAAAAAAAGAATTAAATCAACCTAAAAGGGCACTGTTGCTGGAACCATGCAGACCTTGTGTTGGTTCTGACTAATGATAACAGAGGCCAGGCAACCTCAACCTCGCCAAGCCCACTCACTTGGTATAAACTAATGTACATAAAGGATCTCTTGTTAATATCAGCCAACCTTAGTACTACTCAATGTTCAATGTTTTGAAGGTTCGCCAAAGAACACTTCTGACATCATATAGACTTATTGGTCATCAGAAATGACTATTCTAAAATTTGTTCTCTGCATATTATCAGATATAACGAAACTAGGAAGGATGCCTCTTTGAATTTGAAAATTTTAACAATCTTCTTTTAAAAAAATCATACCTCATTTCTGTATTCTCCTCAAATCTACTCTTCAATAAAATATTACTTTATAATATATTCTAATCCTTAGAAAACTGATGAAAGTATGATTAGAACTCAAAAAACTTCTATTATTCCTTATCTTTTATTGTGATAATTTGTTTGAATCAATAGTAGAAAAACTGTATTTTTCTTCTAAAACCTATAGCCATTTAGTAAAATCTCTTAACATTATTTAAAGAAAAATATGACACAATTCCTTCATGCAATCACCATTGTTTAACCTTCCTTGCAGAGCTTGCTGATCCATTCATCCTAATTGTTCTTAGTGTAGTTGTCTATGTTCCGCCCCCCTTGCTTTTCTGTGGCAGAAATTATTCCAGCTAAATAAAGGGAACTTAAAACAATTTTAAAAGGGGGAATATCAGAAAATAAAGAGATTAAATACCTGAGGGCTACAAGCAGAGAGCTAAGCTTTCGAGTTTAAAAAAACAAAACAAAAAACACGAAAGTTGTACAAAAGAGTTTTACCAGTAAACATATGAAGATCAATTAAAAAGGAAACAAGTGTTGAAGTAAAATACCCAGAAGAGAATTACTGAGAATGTAAAAACATAGTGAAAAACAGAATTAGTATCTCTGAAATATCTATCTAGCTATCTGTCTCTGAGTAACAGAGAATGGCTTCATACAGTTTCCGAGGCTGCCACCTTTACCAAAGCAGACAGACGTTGCCCTCAGAATGGCTAGTAGGTCTGAACCGCTAACCACTGTTTAACAGTAGCCCAACATGTAACCTAGAGCACTGCCAGGGCTCCTTGAACAAGTTGGTAACTGTCAAATGGGAACCTAACTTCTTGTGTGTATATACCTTCACTGAAAAATAAAACATTGTCTTAAAAAATGGAAGCATCAGAGATGATATGAAGAGATTCAATAAAACATTGCACAAACATATAGTACAGTGACCTGGTGGGCAGGATGATATGGGGCAGAGGCTGCAAAGAGGCTAGGAAAGGCAAGACAAGGTGAGCCTTTCCAGCAACTTCTCGGGGTGGTACAGCTCAATACCCAATGGACTTGATCTCATTATTCGTTATTTTAACCCTCAGCAGAGCACATGGTAAGTTTGTTTTGCTTTCTCTTCTGAGTTCACTGAAAAACTCAACTAGTATTTCAAGTTACAGCAGGCTGTGCCTACCACTTAAGCATTTTCGAGATTTCCTTTAAGGGGGAAAACAAATATCTCCTGCAAGATCACATTCTTTACAGATAATTCCTTGCCCAATGCCCATTTTCAGATTCTGGTCTTTCACCGCTGCTGTTTGCTTTCTTTCCATTCTCAGGCAGGTCAGAAAGTTCTGTTTCCCACAAGTCAGTGAAAGTACCCTTCTGCAGGAGAAAGAATGTTACGGCCCCAGCAACTTAAATACAGGTAAGTTAACCCAGCTAGCTCAGCTAGGCAGATCTGGAGAGAGGTGTGACAGAGACTTGAAGGGTTGAGGGGAAATGAGGGCAGTAAAGGAATGGGGTAAGGAAAAGAAAGAAGGCAAATAAAGACGAGGACTAGGTTTTAAATGAACACCTACCAAGAACGAATAAAAGTCATTTCCTCATAACACAGTAAAATAAAATGAAAGGAGAAAAATACCTTGTTTTAACAAATTATGGTGAATGCATAAGAAAGGAGAAATAACTTACTTCTCCTTGCGGCATGGTGGTAGTAGTGGTGGGCCTTCAAATTGGTTCTGACTCATAGAGACTCTATATAGGGTTTCTAAGGCTATAAATCTTCATGGGAGCAGCAAGTTTCATTTTTCTCCCATGGAATGGCTGGTATATTTGAACAGCAGACCTTTCTGTTTGCAGCCCAAACTTGAACCCACTGGTACACTACTAGGGGTCCTACCTCCTTGTGCAATGGCAGACATTAAAAAATAATCAATTAACGGACCAAACAAGTTAAGTACCTAGATTCCCATTAATAACAGGTTCAAAGACTACCAAAAGGTAAGCATATGACCTCTGCTGAAATACTGATGACCAGAGTTGGCTGTATATTTCAGAATAGACACTGGAGCAATAGGGGAGGTACTTCTACTATCAGCCTCAGCATATCTTCTGTGCCTCTCAGATTATCATTCTCAAGCCCTTGGTGGAGGATTTCACTCCCTTTTACCTTGCCCTGGAGAATATCACATGCTCTACCTCAGCTAGCACCAAACCCTCTCCTAGGTGTGGCAGAGGTAAAACAGTAGGCTAAAGGCTTAAAAGGTGCTGCTTAGAACCAGGAGAAAAGACTAAAGACAGGGGAGAAGTACTCAATAAGCAAGATAAGCATGAGCTTACTTGTTCTTACTAATCTGTAGTGAACAACTGATGTTGTAAAAAAAACATGTGGAACAGTTCACTATAGATTAATACATAAATACAAGTAAGCTCATGCTTATCTTGCTTACTGTATACTCTCCATTCCTGGCAGGGACTGTAGAAGCTTTGATTCTGTAGAAGGTGTTGTGAGGTTAGGAGAGTCAGATGACAGCCATACCTAGAAGGAGAATCTATGATGTGGCAGAAAAGAAAAAAAAAAAAGTGAAAATGTTCACTACTGAGTAGCAAGTAAACTCAAATAAGCCCATGCTTACCTTGATTACTGGGTAACCCAACACTGGCTGAAGACACTGATAATGAATATCCACTGAGATGACCCTGAAATTTCCCTTCTTCTTGCCTTCCACCAGCTCTATTCTCCAAACTAGCCAGCTTTATTCTTTGAAAAGAAGTTCTCAACATTGGTCCCAGTCGACTTCATTTTCACATTCTCTTTAAAACTGCTGCCCACGTTTTCTAAGAGAGGTCAGATGCATGCCTTGCCCAGGATTCTAATACAACAGCCCCTATCAAGGTGAAGTGGTCAGTGACGAACTTCCCTTCTCTTAGAAGGTCAATTCCTCAGGCCCACCCATTCTCAGCAGGCTTGCTGGTCAGATCATGGGTGTTCCAGATATGGTTACTTCTAGTTCAAAATAGAGCTAGTGAGGTGCCTAGTAATCCACAAAGCTAATACCGTCTCCTTGAATTATGCATAGTGTATTTATTATGAGTTGAGGTTATCTTACATTTGATTTTTTTTTTAATAGCTAGAAAACAGTTTTTAACTGCTAAACAAACTGTAACTCTTTTTCCTTTTTTTGGATATTTTATGGTCTCATTCATCACCTCACCAGCATCTTAAAAACACCTAAACCATGAAGGTTAAAACAAACATAACCTATTATAGGCTGAGATATGGCCAAAAAATCAAGTCTGTTCAGAACGACCCTGTTCTTACTGTTTAACCAAAGTTACATACATCATCCTTTCTTCAAAAAGTGAAGGGCAGGGATACCACTTTTCACACACTAAATGTCTAGCTACAAACGACTATGTTCCTGGGTCAGTTCTTTTTCCAATTCTCTGCCCTGTGGTATCCTTAAATGCACTCTGAGACTCTGGTATCACCTTCATTATGATGTGCTTTGTACACATTCTCCAACACTGCAATGCCCATACTAAGGCAACACATCACAGAAATTGGCAGCAATACTATCAGGAAGAATTTGGCTTCAGGTTCAGGAGTGATTCATCATACATTCTAGCACCAGAAAAACAACACACTGCTATTTTAATCACTTGGTGCTATCAAGAATCACAAACTAATAAAATGTAATGAAACAAAAGGAACAACAAAAAAACACCTTTTCTACTGCAACATTTAAAAAATATTTCCTTTTAGAATTTTTCAATAAAAGTCACTTAAGAAATCAACAGCTTACTTACCTCATTTCATAATATCTACTATCGCAACAAATCAAGTCTTAATACAATTTCAGAGGGAAATAGGTAGCCCTAACTTCTGACAAGCAATATACTGAAATTCTAAATTTAGGAAAACAGATTTCAGTAAATTAAACCCCTCTCTCCAAGTGTTTCAAAAGTGATGTATTTATTTTGTTGTCTCTATCCGTTTTTTGAGATGACTAATTTAAAGTGTGGAGCTGTGGGTTAATGCGCTAGACTGCAGTTAGTTTGAACTGCAAGGTCGGTGGTTCAAGCTCACCAGCTGCTCCTTGGAAACCTTACACAGGGTCGCTATGGGTCGGAATCGACTGGACAACAACAACAATTTAACGTGTAGGTGCTACGGAGTCTATAACAACCAGATTCAGAAACTGAAAAATGTGGGCAATTTATTTAGAATACTTATTTTCTTTTTTCCTGAGGAACTGTAACAATGCAACAATAAACAATTGGTCTAATATAATAATGGGATCCACTTAGAGGGTCCTAGTGCTCTAGTAAGCACTAGGGCTTTATTCACAAAAGCACTGTTAAGTTGATCTTTACATTTATCAATCTTTACATTCATTCATCTGTATCTCTGTAGAAATATCTAAGTAAATTAAGTCTACTGTTTACAGTACATTCCATTTTTTGAAAAAGAAAAAACTTTTTGAGAAGATGATACTCTATTGTTTGGACCAGCCCCCAAGAACAAAAGTGGAGATTTATTACTAACTCCAACCTGTGCTGTCTTTCGGGACCCCTACCTTTTCAAACACCTCCTGGCTCTGTCTCCGTTTCCGTTTTTTGGGTCTTCGGTTCATGCGAATCCATTTTGTGACCTGAAGTTCAAAACCATAAGGACATTTTAAACAGTATTTTGCGTCCTGCGGGACGACCCTAGACGTAGCCGACCCTCGGCGTGCCAGGGACCTCCCTTCACCTGGGGAAGCCGCAGGCACCTTCTGGAGGTCTCCTGGCCGGGCCCCTTGGGCGCCTCGCTGCGGTGAGCGGCTCCCGGAGCGCTTGGAGGTTCGTTGCGCTGGGAGGCCATGACCTTCGCCCCAGGTGCTCCCCCGGTCAAGGGCCCGAAGTGCCCCCCCCCCCCCCCCCGCAAGTGCCAATGTGCGCCGGCGCCCCCGGACCAGGGGCCATCTTTCCCACTGCTGTCGCGAGTCGGTTGTCCCTGGGGCGCCCGGGTTCCGCGGCGGGGATGTGGCGTGCAGCCTCCACCCCGCGGAAGGAGGGCAGCGAGGGGTCCGCGCCACCAAGGCCGCGCCGCACTCACCTCGGCGCTGACTTGCCACGAGAGTCCGCACTCCGGCCGGGCCTGGCGTTCCCTCTGCAGCGGCTGCGGGGAAAGGGGACAGTCAAGTTTATCCCCGGAGCGGGCCTGGTCGCCCTTCCCCGCACCCCACACCCACTAGGCGCGCCAGCCCCCTACCTCGCCCGAGGGAGGTGAGGACTGAGGCGGGGGCGCGGCGCTCCGCGCTCCGTGCCCGCGCGCCCGACCGGGTCGGGGGAGAGAAGCAGGCGCTCGGGGCCCGCAACACCTAAGGAGGAGCGGGCGGCGGCGGCGGCAGCGGCGGCGCGGACGGACGGATGGGGGCGGAGCCTGCCTTAAAGGTATAGGAGCCGCACCGCCTCCCGCAGGTCGCCCCCGCCCCTCGGCGCCAGGCGCGTCTTCTAGTTTATTGTTCTCCTCGCAAACATCTCCCTTTCTAGGGCCTGCCGGTGCCCGCGTCTTCCCACGCGTGGACGCGCCCAGTGAGCATGCCTTCCCTTGCCACAACCCACCCGCCCGCGGGCCCCTGGGTACCCGCGAACGGCTTTCCAACCGGCTGTAGGAGTCGGGATGCCACTCCCCCGCCCGCAAAGGCTAAGGGGCTTCGCAGGGGATGCGCTCCCAGCCCGCGGTCTGCCTGAACTCCGACGCCTAAGTGTCCTGAGGGCTTTCGCAGAGAGAAAGGAACTTTCCTAATGCAGTTTTTTCCAGGAATGGATTACACGCCATTAAGTAGACGTTTTCCAGCTGCCCCTGCGAACCCGGAGCGGGGGCAGGTGACCTTCCCGGCGGAGAGGCCGGCAGCGTGGGGATGCCGAGCCCGGCGCTCTGCAGGCGCGTCTCGGGAGCCGCCGCACTCCGGCTCCGCGCAGTCGGCGGCGCACTCGCCCGACTCCTGTGGACATACGGCCATCAAAACCCGGTGTTCCCAAAACGACTAGGCAAAATGAAAAAAGGGGCGATCGGTTTTCATAATTAAGGAGAAAGTCTCTCCATCGTTTCTAAAAGGCTGCAATACTCCCAAGTGTTTTCCTTAACCCCTTATAAGCGTTAATCCCCCCGCGTCAGAAGTTGGATGAACCAGGTTGTAGTGGGGAGGTGGGGTACAGAAGTTGCAATTGTGTTTGCTGATCTTGACCATCCCTTTAACTTTATCACATCTCTGTTTTAAGTCTGTCTTGCCCTCTCTTTATTGCTACTCCATCCTTCTTTCAAGATCAAAAGGTTTAGATCAAAGCCAAGATCAAACTCACTACTTTAAATAGAAGCAATTTTGCCATGGAGTATTTTACACAAGAGGAGCTTCTTAATGGAGACATCAGAGTGGAAAACTTTGTTATCCCTTCATTCCATATTCATAACGAGGCTACTTAAAATTACATTGACGATGCACTTGTTTCCTAAAATAAACTAAAGGTCTGCTCAAATGGGCGATTCTTGACTTTGTGTTTTAAGAAATTAAAAAAAAAAAAAAAAGCACCTCTAGGGAGGAATAAAAATAGATACAAGAGGGGTTTCAAAAAGTTCTGGGAAAATTCCATTATCTTTCTTCCCCCATTTTCATTGGGTAATTGATAATATCAACTGCATACAAAAAATGATTCACTGTATAGCGGTACAGACCTAATCAATATTTATACAATAATAATGTAACCAAAACATTTCCATTACCTTTTCAATCCATTTTTCCAGAACTTTAAAAGCTCCCCCATAATATTAACCATTTTGTATCATTCTAAGCTAAGTGCTTAGAAATGTATGCTTATTTGCTACAGATTTTTCAAGGTGTTAGTGAATTTTCTTATATATAGTGTTCAACCACCCATATACAGTTTTGTATTGTAAAGGAAATCTATTTTTTTTTAAAGTTATAGTCTTGCAAATCATGAGTGCACCTACACAAAGGCACCTATACATACCTATGACAGAATGTATTCTATAACTGAAGAGCTGCTGAATTTTAAATGGAAAGAGAACGTTGAACTAGTCAAGCTTCCAAGCTACTAAGAACAGTTCCAGAATCAATAGAAATCTATCACTGGCAGACACTTTCCACTAGAATGATTTTTTTTTTTTCATTGGGAATTCATCATCTCCAGGAACTCTGAACTGAACTGTTCAATACTGATGTACAGTCCCTGGCCTAAATGGACCCTGCCTAAGTGTCCTCTTTGTTGATTTGTCAAAAATCCTTAAACATGTAGTCTTACAAGAAAGTGAAGTCCAATGATCCAGTAATAGCAATAAAGACTACTGCAAATTCAATCTTATAAAGGCTTCTATGTAAATCTGTTGTTACAGCTGGGTAGTTAGTACTTGCAGATTTTTTCCTTTATTCCTCAAATGGTTGTCGTCTCAAACACATGCGCACCAAGATTGTTCCTGATCTAAGACTCACATTGAGGCACTGAAAAGATCTTAGGAAGTAACCTGGAAACCCCATCTTGCTGCCATTGACACAGCTTGCCCTCTTTCTAGCACCGGACTCATGAGAACCTAACCATTTCAGACACATACAAATCAAAGGAAACCTGCCACTCTGCTCTCTCCTAGTATGTTGTGGAGTGGGCAATAAAAGCTGTGGTTCATTCTAAGTGCTCCTAGCTGTTCTCTTTGTACTCTTCCCAGGATCTCCACCACCACCATCCATCTTCCACAGAGACGCAAGAATATTTAAAAGTAATTTACGTTCTATCACTTCACTTTACCTAGAAGTCTTTCTCCTTCTCCTCATGGCCTGGCTAGCTTCTTGTTCTGGGCTTAAATGACACATTTTTAGAAGAAAGGTCTTTCCTTGCTCAACCCCACCCCAAACCATTCAGCTTGTCACCCTACCATTCTATTTATTGATGTACTTATATTTTACATTAGTCTATTTAATGTCTATCTCCCCAGCTGGCCTGTAAGCACAAAAAACACAAAAGCCAACCCTTTGCCACCTAGTTGATTCTAACTGACTCATAGTGACCCTACATAGAGCAGAGTAGACTTGCCCATAGAGTTTCCAAGGTTATAAATCTTTACGGAAGCAAACTTTTGTATCTTTTTTCTTCAGAGCTGCTTGTGAGCTTGAACTGCTGACTTTGCATGATTAGCAGCGGAGCACTTAACCATATCCTGTAAGCTCCAAGAAGGCAAAAATCTTGCCTTCTTTTGTTCTCAGTTTTTGCCTAGTCACCAAAACATTGCCTGCCATATAGTGGATGCCCAATAAAAGTGTTACATGAGTGAATGGGAGAATAAAAGAATGAATAGCATGTGAAATTTTCTTGGCAGGGAGGAAGGTCTGAAGATAAAGACCTTTCTGTGGGCTAATACTTCAGACTACAAAGTCGTTTGAACTGCAAGGTCGGTGGTTCAAGCTTACCAGTCGCTCCCTGGAAACCCTATACAGGATCGCTATGGGTCGGAATCAACTTGTTGGCACGTAACAACATTAACAACAACAACTAACTCCAGTCATTTCACCACTAAAATACCTTAATTTGTAAATAGTATAGAATTATGCATTTTTTTAAAGTTTAAAAATGAACTTTTTAAAAACCTAGAAACAAATAAATAAAACTATCCCAAACCTGCTGCTCTCCATTAAATTCCGAGTCCTCTGTAACAGAGTAGAAGTGCTCCATAGGGTTTAATTGGCTTCAGTTTTTATGAAAGCAGATCTCCAGGCCTTTTTTGTGTGGCACCACGGGGTGGCTTTGAACTGTCCAACTGTTAGGCTAGTAGTCTAGTACAAACCATTTGCACCATCCATAATTCCTTCATGGCTCTGTAGAATAAGTCCTTGACTGCTTACCACAAGCAGCGGCTTGAGCCCATCAACTGCTCTGCAGGAGAAAGATGAGGCTTTCTGCTCCAACAAAGATTTACTGCCTCAGAACTCTATACAGAGTTGTTATGAGTCAGAACCCACCAAAGGGCACTTAACAACAACAGTAAACACAAAAATTGTATTCTAAAATGATGCCTGGGGCTGAATTCAATCTAGAATGAGAGATTAACACTAGAAAAATTGATTGACACTAGAAAACTATTACTGCTTTTTAATTGTGTCCAGTACAATTTCAACACATTTCTCTTGTGTTTCCTCCCTTTATTCATGGACTGATACCAATGAAGATAGGGTGTGGAGAAGCCGGAGAAAGGCAACGTTTTCAGAAATTGGAATTCTGGAGTTAGGGTGGGTGCTCTGCTCAGGCTCTGTACTGTAAAACGGTCTTTGCGAATGTGACGAATGCACTTTAAAGCTATCTTTTAAAAACAGATGTTTTTTTATTTGAATTCTATTCTAATAAAGATGCAAGTTTTGAAAGGAAGTTGTTCTAAGAAACCTACTTGTCAAAGCTGCTTGTAATAGCTAAAGACAATGTCAGATGCTGAGAAAAAATGCCATTGCTTTAAAGTAAGAGCTTTACTTAACTTAGTGGCTAGAGATTACTTCTGGCGATTTCTTTTCCTTTCTCTCTTCCTTTTTTTAAGTCAAAGAGGAAATTATGCTTTTTTGCTGGAAAACGATAGTGATACCAATTCCATATTGTAACATGGGCGTGTGTTCTCTTCCTGACTCTACCTTGTGAATAGTGAGAAAACAACACACATCAGTGGTCAACTAAAAGGCCTGAAGGGCCTCACGTGGTAAATTATACTCCCTTGGACAGAGCAGAAGGAAAACCATCCACTGTAAGAAGCCTATAGGGAGTTCCAGAGCTTTTGCTGGTTTCAGAAGGGCTCTACTGCCAACATAAATTCAGGGTGGGTTAAAAAGTAGGAGTCTATACAGGTCTGGAAATCAAATCAAGGTTAATTTAAGTTGCAAATAACAATGAGTAATGATTAGGGAGCCAGGTGACCAAATGTTAATGTCTTTAAATTTTGCTCCATTATTTTTTAATGTAATATTTATATTATGATGTTAGATGTTAGAAAAATAATATATAACTTGTGGTAGTGGTGGTTATGTGCTGTGGAGTCAATTCTGACTCATAGCATTCCTGTATACAGTTCTGAGACTGTAAATATTTACAGGAGCAGGAAGTCTCATCTTTCTCCCAGGGAGGACCTGG